TGTCCCGTAAGTATCAGATGGAGCGTCAATTCAACATCCGACACGGTGCTCGGAAGCGAAGCTTTAATGTTGGTCAACAAGTTCTGGCGAGAGACTATCGCATTCACTATCCTAAATGGGCTATGTGCCATGTGCTATACAAACATGGTAACGTGATCTACGGTATCCAGGTTGGGACGGCAGTTTGGGTAAGACATGCCAATCAGCTGCTAGCGGCACGGACTGGGGAACAAGTGCAACAACTAGTACCAGCAACGCAGTTACCTCTGGACATCCTGGCCGACGCCAGTGAAGCGACGACTCCCCCACATGTCCCAACACCGCAAGCACAAAATTCACCCCGAAACCTAGCAGCACAGCGGCCGAAGCGGTGACGCAAATTCGTGTCACCCATGCAAGACAACCCCAAGCTGAAATCGTACAACACAACTCAAAGGGGGAAGTGTTAGGAAGGAATACACGAGTCGAACAAGCCAGGACCCCATCGCCTCGGCCGGCTATCGAAACCCATCCGCTCTGATTGGGACGAACAGAGAGCCAACCAGGAGAAGCGGCCAATGAACGCTAGGTTGAAGTTCTTTTATTGGCTGTAAGTTAACCTTTCCAGAGCTTTCCACGGTCGCTTTAAATATACTGTTCACGAACTTTCCAATTTACCTTTATAATGAACGGTGTGATTTGCTAATTCATTCCTGTTGCCCTGCTCGTCCGATTCGTCTTCTCTCTGTCCTGTGGGGGGCCAGCGACTTTGGGTTTGATTGGGAATCAAGCGTCCATTCAGGCGAGGGATGAACACTTCAACTGGCGACGGTTTGAACCCAGATCAAGATGTCCATATCGGCTGACGAGCTCAAGGCCATTCTACTGCAGCAACAAGCACAATTTGAGGCATCCCAACTCAGGCTGATCGAAACTCTTACGCGCCAACTCTCAATCCAGACCGGTTCACTGTCTACAAACGTCAAGCCGTCCGCATCGGTAGACGCCATCACTAACAGCATTACCGAATTTTCGTACGACCCTGATGCCGGCCTCACTTTTGAATCTTGGTTCAAGCGTTATGAAGATGTGTTCCGCGTTGAACTTGGAGACCATGATGACGATTGGAAAGTCCGATTGCTGTTAAGGAAACTTGGAACAGCAGAGCACTCCAGGTATGTCAACTTTATTTTGCCTAAGAACGCTCGAGACTGCACTTTTGAGGAGGCTGTCAAATGCCTGGGCCAAATATTTGGAGAGCAGTCATCCATCTTCAATACGCGATATCAATGCCTGAAGATAACCAAGGTGGATGCTGATGACTACGTCACTTACGCTGGCATCGTCAATCGCGAGTGCGAAAAATTCGACATCAAATCGATTACGGCAGATCAGTTTAAATGCCTAATTTTTATCTGTGGCCTACATTCCCCACGAGATGCAGAGATTTGCACCAGGCTGCTGAGTAAACTTCAACAAGACAAGCAAATGACCCTACAGACCGTAACTACTGAATGCCAACGATCGCTGAACCTGAAACATGACGCGGGGGGGGGGGGGGGGGTGGGGGGGGGGGGGGGGGGGGGGTTGTGGGGTGGGGGGGGGGAGGGGGGGGGGGGGGGGGAGTGGGGGGGGGGGGGGGGGGGGGGGGGGGGGTTATGGCTTGGAGGTAAATTAAAAAAAAAACATCGAGAAACACACAAAACAATCGTCCCATGTGCCACATCTTTAGTGAGTCCCTCCCGCCAATCCTTCCCAGCCATCACCCCCCTGCTATGGTCCCAACCCCCATTAAACACGAGAGCAAACATGGTCCATGGCACAGCCTTTACCCCGCCCTGGCTCACCCCCAGTCTCCGCCACTGGCTAATGGAGAATTATAGGAGAGATGTGCACTATATTTCTGTCAAGATTACCCAAAATGAATTTCCAGCCCGCACCCCCGTAAGAGACCTCCCTAGACCCACAACGTTGCCCCAACTGTCACCCGCCCTGCCTGTTATGAACGCACTAAAAACCCACACTCAAATCGAGCCGAAGCAGCACCCTCAGAACCAGGGGCTGCCAGCCAAACGCGAAACTGAAACCCGCATTCCCAAAACTGTACCCGGGGGGGGGGGGGAACCCAATAGGACCTCCCCACTCTTACCCTGGTTCAAGCGGCCTACACAGCTGACCACTGTGGCACGCAGAAAGTACGTCATCGTTCCAACTGCTGACCGGGCATCAAGTGCGTGCTGCAGCTTGATACAGCCTCTGGACAAATCACAATTATCTCCAGCCAAACTTGGCAAATAATATTGTGCAGAACCGTACCCGTCAATCGACCGTACGACACATGTTGCACTTAACGCTTCAGGAATCAACAACTTAATCTCATTAGGTGTGATAGCAGTGTGAAGTGGTTTTGGCGCTGCTCGGGCAAGCGGTATCGTTTCCATAACGGAGCTGTCACATTTGAATCTGCTTGGACTGGACTGGATCCAGAAGCTCCACCTGTTCGACATTTCCCTGAGCCAAGCCTGCACTACCCGCCGGCTCGAACATACGAGCTCGTCTTCGGAAGTGAATGAAACAAATAATAAGCTAATCGAGCAACTACGAGGAAAATTCCGTCTATGTTTCACAACGACTTGGGAAGACGCACAAAAACCAAAGCAAGCCTGACTCTCAAAGACGGTGCGAAACCGGTATTCCGACCCAAAAGACCGGTACCATACGCTGCGCTGGGAGTGCGGGGTGGGCTGGGGTGGCGGGAGGCGTGGCCGATTGTTGATTGCTGATTACCCTTATGATCCGATTAGGAGTCTGGCAGGCGTCCATCCAACCTGTGACTATTCAGCTTGGGAGCACCTTATTGTTTGTCGCGTCAAGAAGACCCATGGAGCCGTTCGTATCTCTGAGGCAGACTACTCTATACTGGATTGATATGCTGCTTTAGAAAATGCACCATATCCTTTGCCAGTTCCCAAAGTATCTATTTGCTAAGCTCAGTGGTGGCAGCTTTACTATTTTGCAAAGTCTAGAATTTAAGCAATGCTTAATCTTCAAATATGAAGCCGGAGACGGATGCCTTCAAATAGGGAATTGCGTTCTGGGCAATCAAAATGACATACGCAATCGAGGTTTATTACCATTCAACCGTTTTGCACCGTAATGGTGTCAAATCAGCTCCCTCGGATGCGATTTTTCCGCGCCCCTCCAAACAAATAAAGGATACGATGTAGCTGTTTTATCAGGAGTCGGCAGCTTACTTGGACACATCGAAATAATCACAGCGACTTCCCATTCCGAGAGCAGCCGGAAAGACATGGACGCAGATCACGCTCCTCGGTGGTGGGGCCAAAAACCCGCCTTTAACGACTACGGTTTCCACTTGAAAGCAGAAAAGTGCCATACCCGGTCAAGCAGAGTGTATAAGATATCATGGTTTTCAACATCATCGACAAGGAAGGCCGTCGTCCCGGATACGCTTCCACCAAAAAAGCGAGCCATCCGACATTATGCCATCCGCCCCAGACCATGTGGCGAAGCACAGAATCCAACCATGGGGAATCTCAGTCAATCGCGGGGCTCTATTAAGAGCCACGACCAGCATCGCAACGCGACCCCACAATGAAACTACAGGTAAAGGATTACGCACCATAGAGTGGTCAACGCAGCAATGGTCAAAGCCGCATTTGATAATGACCAGACTCTATTGAGTTTCTGACCTGTATTCAAAAATGGGCATTTTCAAGATCCGGAGACTCAGAGATCGATAGTTGCTGCTTATGCGTCCGAACTACGGATTGGGGCAGTCATATCCCACATTTTCCTCAATGGTTCGGAGACAGCTGTGGATCCATGAGCGGCCAGAATCACTGACACACCTACCTCAGCGGGAAACGTCCCTATGGCCCACTCGAGACACCGCCTGCTTTAGCCCAAAGTGTAATATTCAGTCAAGCGAGTATTATCACAAAATTGCTCTAAAACGACGACGAAAATTATTTCACGCTGTTTATCCTGACCACGAGAGACCCTTGGTCCGCAATCTTGGGATCAAAGAAAGGCAATACCGGTCAGCACGGGCCATCCGTCTTCCAACGCTGGGCAAACGGTTTCTTTCTAACTTGGTTTACGATTTCGTCCGTCAAATATCAATCCTACATCAACATTTGTCAAGCAGGATGTCGTTATCCCCTCATTCCGGCGCTCGTTTAGAATTTGTACACAACATCAAGAACCAAGGATTTGGTAGTTGCTCCACGATATCTCGTGAGAACCCCAAGTCACAGAGCAAGTTGTGTCTGATATTTTTCGGTGGCCTTACAGTAAATCATTCGAAATGGTAGCGGGAAGCGTTACCCAGAATGGATTCTACCGCTTCCCAACAAGTGATTGATTTCCACCTCAATGGATGGCCTAAGTGAAGTTACAGCCGCCGGAGCTTTCAACAATTCGCACCAACAGGAAGGATGCACTATCGGTCTTCAGAACTGATCTGCTCATTGTTCTCACGATCGCGTCGTCCTTCCACGAATCCTTCAAGATAGAAGGTCTCCGACAAGTTTCCATATTACTAGCCACCCGGGAATGATCGCATGTAAATCCAGGTACGAAGCTAGGTGGTATTGGCCCATATATGGATTCCCAATCGAGAGTTTATCCAGGAATATGTCCCCGATGATGCTAGTGTACTCAACACAAAACCAAGAAGACTGCAACAAGCACGACCTCCAGTAGCGCCGACTCCCCCGGCCCCCCCAAGGTCAAAGGGGGTACTCACATCGACTTTGCAGGTGTCCCAATTGATGGTCACGCATTTCCCCTCATTGGCCGTCGGCGTGACGGCCCACAGTAACATATGGCCGGGCAGGGGATTCCAATGGTCAGCAACCCACATTCAGCAGCAGCCACTGTCTTTCGTGCCACGCTCCTAGTCGACAGATATTTTTCTCGTGTTCGGTCGGCGGTGTCCTGTCCCCACACGTTGGTTATCGCGGAGACCGTACGGACAATGGAAACACAATTCTTACCTCGCTCGGTGAATTTGTCTGTCTGTCTGGTCGCAGAAACGCGATCGTCCACGTAAGTGTGTCTCCCACCGCTACTCCACCCACAATGCTGAACGGGCATGGGCGGGATCGTGATTTGTGTGATAAGACCCTCTCAAAGAGGCTTTGCTAAAGCAGCCGGTGGCACGAGTCCCTTGGAGTGCTGCTGTCTTAAACATCCTAGACCCCCCCCCAGAACTGCAGACGAAACGCCCCACCACAGAATCCGCAGACACCGACCCTGCCTCTATCTCACCGGCTGAAACTTGTTTCACAAAAGGACCCCTCCTTGTGCCGCCAGAATGGTCCCTTCCGTGGCCCTCACGAAGGATCAGTTGCTGTCCCGAACTATCAGATGGAGCGACAATTCACATCCGACAAGCAACAACAAACTGTGTGCTGTGCGGAGCGAAGCTAAATGTTGGTCAACAAGTTCCAGGCGAGAGACTATCCGCATCCACTATCCTAAATGGGTTTGCCATGTACAATACAAACGTGGTAACGTGATATACGTTGTCCAGGTTGAGACGGCGTTTGGGTAAGGACATGCCAATGCAGCTGCTAGCGGCCGGACTGGGGACACAGTGCAAACACAAGTACGCGACAACGCATTTTACCTCTGGACATCCTGACCGACGCCAGTGAAGTCGACGACTCCCCCGCACCCCGCATCGCCCCAACACCGCAAGCACAAAATTCAACTGGCCTTCCAGAAAACCTAGCACAGCACACGGCCGAAGCCGGCCGAGACGGCAGAATTCCGTATCACATATCACCCAATGCAAGAGCCACCCCAAGCTGTAATCGTACAACACAACACAAAGGGGGAATTGTATCGTTCTGCCTCCCCGAGACGCCCCAAGCCAGGACCCCCCATCGCCTCGGCCGGCAATCCAAACCCATTCGCCCACCGCCTGATTGGGGCGATCGGAGGCTGCACGCCCACCCAGGAGAAGCGTTTCCCCTGAACGCAAGGATGAAGTTCTATTAATTGGCAGACAGAAACCCTTACCCGCGCATTCTCCACGGTCGCTTTTAAATATATTGTCACGCACTTTCCAATTTAACCCCGATTATAATGAAACGGTTGTGATTTGCTAATGTCATTCTGTTTTGCCCTCTCGTATCCGATTGCTAGATAACAGGGAATCTTTTACTGTACCAATAAAAGTTTCCCTGCAACTCAATCTGTTTTCTCGAATCGCTCTCTGGGCTCCCGGTACCTGCGACCCTCTAAACAGGCGCACGGCAATTAGTTATTGACACTTCATTGGAACATGCAATGTCAGTAAAATATTTGCCTCCACAGCCATGCACAGTTGTAGACAATGTGGCGTTAGCGACATCTGACG